TCTCTCTCTCTCTCTCTCTCTCTCTCTCGTTTGCTCGCTCTCGCACACTCTCTGTCTCAAATAAAATCTTAAAAAAAAAAAAAAAAAAAAATAGCAACCAGGGTAGAAATGAACAAAAAAATGCTTAAACTCAGTAGTTATTTGAAAAATCATCTATTAAGCTGTCTTCTTATAGAAATAAAATTTTCTTGTCTAATGTCCCTGGTATAAAGTCTCACCTTAAAAATCAGGAGGATAGTTATATTTTCAAATGATAGAATCATTTGCTACAAAGTTTTCCAAAGTAACTACTTGGTAGTTGGGTGAAGGGTTACAGAAGAGGCGATTCTTGGATTTAGTATTACCATCTGTGTGGGAGTACCTTAGGCAACAGGAACCATGTTCAAAGACATGGGAATGTGAAGACTATGGCATGCCTGGGCATGAACAAGAATCAGAGATTGAAATTGAATGAGATGAGCAGAGGCCAAGTCAGGGTCTCCAAAGACTTCATTTTGTGGGTGTAACTCCTTTACATTTCTTCATAGTAAGTCATTTAAAAGGTAGCACTTTCAGTATTGTTTTAAATTTTTAATTACCAAAGTCTGTCTTTTCTTTATGTAGAGATAAATCTTATCTCCTGGTCACAAATCTTTATTCCCGGTGACCTCATGCATTCTATTTCAGTAAACTTCCTCTGTGCTTGGACCTGAAGAGGGTCTACATTGTCCGAGAAATAGTCTGCTTCTTAAAATTCTAGACTGTGTTTCCAGTGGCCTCACCAAAAGCCATTTCTTTTGATTCTCACCCTCTGCTTTATGACCAGTTGATGCTCCCATGTTAAGTAATCTTTTTTTTTTTTTTTAATGTTGCCTTTGGCAAACTGGACATCTTTATGTAATTTTCTAATTATTTTTTTCTTTTGATCTGGACATCTGGGTAGTTCTTTGATGTATTGTTAAGTAGGACCCAGAATTATTTGTTCCTCCCTAGAGAAGCTGAAGAACCATTTTTTATTTCTTCATTATAAAAATTCTTGACGATTAAGCCATGGTTCGGGTGTGTGTGTGTGTGTGTGTGTGTGTGCGTGCGCGCGTGCGTGCATGTGAACTCGGGCTTTCCTAGGCATCTCAGCACTTATTTCCTTAACTTCTTCACCGTATTTGATATGCCAAATCACCCCTTTGGTCTTGATTTTTCTCTCTTCCTTGGTCCTGATTCTCTTTTTATATTTCAGCTCTCTTTTTTTCTTGCCCCCACTTCATTTACCTGTTTTCTAAATTTGGAGGTACCTGAATCCATGGTCTTAGCCCATATTTACTGTACTCTTTCAGAGAAGATGTGTTCTTTGTTGAGTTCTCAACTGTAGTGGTTTGAATAGTGTCCCCCCAAAAGATATGTTCAAGTCAAGGATCTGGAGATAAGATCATTGTGGACTTTAGGCTGGGCCCAGATCCAAAGACTGCTGTTCTTGTAAGCGGGGAGGTGCATGCACAGAGATAGAAAGGAGAAGGTCATGTGCTAATGCAGGCAGAGATTGCAGTTATGCTGCCATAAGCCAGGGAATTCTAGGAGCCACCAGAACCTGAAAGAGGCAAGGAAGGATTTTCCCATAGTACTTTCAGAGAGCTATGGCCCTGCCAACAGCTCGATTTCAGACTTCTGGCTTCCAGAACTATGAAAGAATAAACTTCTGTTGTTTTAAGCCACTCGGTCCTGGTAAGTTGTGACAGCAGCCCTGGGAAACTAGTATATCAACTTTGTAATTCCAATCCCAATATTTTATTCCAGTTGCAGACTGAAGTCATGGTTACTTATTTACTCATCACTACCTGGAAATCAGCATATTGAAAATCAAGCTTTATCTTTGTTCTCCCAGATTTAAAAGTTCAGGATCATTTTCAGTGTGTTTTCTTTTTATTTTTGTGTCCAGTTAGTGAGTCCTTCATTCAGTCTCCCTTCCTTGTCTTTTCTTGTCCCCTTTCCTTCTGCTGTAGTCATGCCAGAGGGAAATCCATGGTGCGGAGTAAGGAGAAGACCAGGACTTAACTTGTCTTCTCAGTTCAGAAACTTTGACAACCGGCAGCTATTTTTGAGGCACTCAAGGCCCTCTACAAACCAGTCAAAATGCGGGGGAGAGGGGGCAGTTCTACTTTTCTTTCCTTCTTTTCAGCTTTGTTGAGGTATAATTGGCAGAGAAAACTATAAGATATTTAAAGTGTACATTGTGGTGATTTGAAATACATATACATATACATTGTGAAAGAATTTCTGCCATCTGGTTAATTAACACATCCGTCACCTCACATATTTATCTTT